ATGACATAGTTTTATTTGGTGAAGACGCTGACAAAATGCAGAGTCTTCTGACCACTAAGCAACAATGCAAGCATGTTCGGGATGCGATTCTCTGCCTCGAAATGCAAAATGTTGCTTCAGGATTGGGTTACATCGACACCCGAACTAGTGATAGGGAGTGAAGTAGTTGAGTGTGTCGACCGCTTCACTTATCTTGGAAGTCTCATCAGCCCTTGTGGTCTGGTGTGTGAAGAAATCTCAGCACGGATACAGAAGGCTCGACTAGCTTTTGCCAACTTGCGTCATTTATGGTGTAGGCGAGATATCCGTCTATCAAACAAAGGACGTGTTTACTGCGCAGCAGTTCGTCCCGTCCTACTTTATGGCAGTGAAACATGGCCGGTAAGAGTAGAGGATATTTTTAGATTACTAGTATTTGATCATAGGTGTCTTCGAAATATTGCTCGTATATCATGGGACCATCGAGTAAGTAACACAGTTGTTAAGAAACGGGTACTAGGTTAGGATGGCAAATCAATTGATGAAGTGGTGAAACTTCATCAGTTGAGATGGCTGGGACACATGTTACGTATTCCCAACGACCGACTGCCTCGACGTGCGATGTTCAGTGGTATAGGAGTAGGTTGGAAGAAAGCTAGGGGCGGCCAGACCAAAACATGGCACAAGTCCATGAAGTCACTGACAAGTGGTCTGAGTCATGTTGGTAGGTGTAGACTACCTGGTTGGCGACCGCGAGATGATAGCAACCGATGGTTAGAGACCTTGAATGACATGGCTCAAAATCGTTTGCAGTGGCGCAGGTGCATCCACTCTTTGTGTTCTCCCAAATTCTAATCTTCTGAATTCTTCAGTTCCCTTTTTTCCTCTTTCCAAATTTATTTCACTGAATTATACTCTTTAAATAACATCTCCAAACCCTAATCTTCCCGATCACTGCTTACACTCTTGCTACCTCTACTACCACTACGGGATTTGGATCGACAACTGCATCTCTGTGTTAAGGTGTTGTGGCAACTCGAACAGATGTACGTACGTACGAAGTTCTACGTTGTTACTGACTGACTGACTGGTGTTTTCAAAGTAACAGAACATGGGTTAGGACAATCAAATGTATTTAACACAAAATTACAGGACTTGTTAATAAAATCTAACAATCATAAAGTGAGTGCTTAATCTGCTTAATTTGACTCAAAATGACACAGACTTCATTGTTCTTGCATTTTCATACAAATTGCATTCTGTTTCGATTCTTTACTGTTCGATCATCTTATCCCTCTGCTGCCAGACATTCTGTTTCTGACTAATGTTATATACTACTTATGTTGATTTAAGTAGTACACACCACAATTATAAAAAGAAATTAATGTGACCTAAGTAAGGTGAATATTTAAATCCAGAATGATACAGGGCAATAGTACTATAATAACGACAAATTAGGATAACTAAGGATTTACAAACGGATAGTGGCTAGCAGTGAGATCCAGGATGCACATTTCTGTCTATTTGAGACTCGTCAGCTGAATGTATCTATATCTCAGAATTGATGTTCTTTCTGGGACTCGAACCCAGTACCAACCGTTTCAAGCACCATTGTGTTATCGACTTAGCGACTAAGTCCCTAAGGATTTACAAATATCTAGTTCATTAGCTTAGCATGTAATATAATTTCATTCTTTTTCATGCCCTATTTTTTCCCTTTGAACGCAGTAGTTGTGAACTTATAACCATAGATTCTAATAATGAACTAATTGAAAACACTAAATCACTCTGATATCCTTTGTTTTTAATAAGTTCAGAGAAATGGCGGTTTTCTAGGATAAAACATTCATCAATCGATTCTCCGTATATTGTCCATTATTTAGTAAGCTATACTAAGTAGTTTGCGCTTAAATATGATTCAAATTTGAACTGTTTACATTAATTGTTTATTCTTTATTTGAAGTACTAATTCACAATTTATTCTAAATATATCCGCTATTAGTATCAGAAAGGGGTTTTTTTGTAAATATTATAGTAATTTTAGCAGTTGAGATCATGAGTCAATTAAAGCTAGAACACAATGCGAAACCTTGAAGAACTGGATGGCCACTTCGTCCTATTGTGGGACTCCTCAGCAGTGCACTGCCACGACTCTGCCTCGCAAGGTTCGAATCCAGAACCTATTTGTCACGCGCGCAAGCGCTTAACCACTAGACCACTGAGCTGGTCGGCATCCAATGATGTTAATGTCTAACTTCAACTAATCCACGAAATCGAGCGACACATCCACTATTGTCTTCATTGAGTTACTATCTCACAACAGACCTGCTTGAACTCTACTGGTCACTGCTTCTCACTAGAACTCCAGGAAATACCTCATGAAGCCCGTTACTAGTGAGCATATGTTGATTCATATTAGAAGGGTTTTTGTGGATATTATAATGATTTATTAGCTGAGACCATGAGTCAATTAAAGCTAGAACACAATGCAGAACCTGGAAGCACTGGATGGCCATTTCGTCCTATTGCGAGACTCCTCAACAGTGCGTATCTACGATCCCACCTCGCGAGATTCGAACCCACTATGGAAAACATTGTAAATAAAGGTGCTTATCATTAAAAGTTTAATGAATTTTTTAAAAGTTTATATGAACATTAATATATTGGCTGGCTGAAAGACATCTTTTGTTAACTAAATATTGACAATGATTACTTTAATATATTCAATAATAATAATAATAATAATAATAATAATAATCTACCATAGTCAAGTTTGTTATTTTATAATCAGAAAGAGGGTTTTGTGGAGATTTTAGTAATTTAATAGTTTATTTCATGAGTCGATTAAAGCTAGACTACTAGAGAAAACGTGAAAGCGCTGAATTGAAAGGACTACCTTCTCGGGCCACGGGTGGTATTCACGAAATTGAGAGGACGAAATGCGAATGTCCGGCGATTTAACCGGCTTGTTGAATACGGGAGATCCACCTAGGGGAGTTAGTTGGAAAACACTGATTCAAAGCCAATGATGTACATGGGCTCCAGGATTCTAAGGAAACAAATTGCGTATGAATCTATCGTTGGTCACCGGCTACCATGTGACTGCATCTCCTTACATTGCTCCATTACCTTATGGATTAGACCTTTAGGTCGAGAACTTTGAGTGTGGCCCCCTAAGCGAATCACCTGTTTCGATTTGGGCACCTGGGCAGTATCTCAGCTCTCACACAAATCGGATGATTTATGTGGCGTATATCTATTTGGTGCCTCTTTGTACCAATGTTTATATGTTTAAATAAATAATAAATAATATCCATTCAGTAAATCGTGATTCACTTCAAAACTGTATTCACAGAAGACATATTTAGATAGCTTAAGGTGATTAAAATAAAGTTTTCAGTGGCATGTACACTCTTATATGCATCAGTGATACATTTTGATGTAGATAGATTGGTAAAGATGCTAAGGCAAACAATGGGAGCTATTTTTGTGGACATTATTTCACTTGATCCAAAGTTTTTAAAATATTGATATTTAGTTTTGTCTCTAGGTTATTCTATAAACCATAAGCTTCTCTCGCTCTCGCTCTCTGTATCGTACCTGTCAGCTAATCAGATGATAGAGTAGTTCCCTGTCTCCTTACCCAAGGTCTTTAGTTTAAATTCAGACTCACGCATTTCTAACCTCAATGTTGAGTCAGTAAGCCTATCGAGTCAATGCCTCAGCCTGGATCGAGACAAAGCAAAGAGTAACTCTAGGTGAAAGTAAAAATACTCGAAAATGTAAGGTATTTCACTTTTATTGACATTGAAAAAGGATAATTATTTCCTATAACTCACATCTTAACACAAATGATATATTCATACATACATGCTTTTGAAACACCAAAAAGTACATTTCAGATTCAAAGCATTTTATTCTGCTCAATTTATTTGTATTATGGTATTATACTTTGAGACTGAGATTATATACAGATAAAGTAAAAATAGATTATTACTATCGTTATAAGAAGAATGTAGTGTGTCCAGTGGGGATATGTGACCTGTTTAAATACGAGCAGTTTGATGAAGTGATAAATGTTTGTTCACCTATATCCGGAGTTATGTGAACCATCGTTCCCAATATACACATGATAATTTAATCAAAATAGTTACGTTCAATTTATATGAATATTTGTCAATATTAGAACGAATAGTTTGACAAAAATTGGTCGCTGAGTATAGAGAAGTCATTATATGTGAAAATTATTACATTCTAAAGTAAACTCAGTGATTGAAATTTAAAATAATCCCAACGTTTCGTCCAACAAACTTGTTTAGATTTCTTCAGGGTAATAATCGAAATATATAGCGTTTAACAATCAAATCAAAACTTACTTACTTACACCTGTTACTCCCAATGTAGTATAGGCTCCCGACCAGCATTCTCCAACACACTCTGTCTTCTCTCTTCCTCTCTAGTTCTCTCCAATTGTTGTTCATTCTTCTCATGTCTATCTCTATTTCTCGACGTTATTTGTTCTTTGGTCTTCCTCTTTTCCTTTGGCCTTGAGGATTCCATGTGAGGACTTGACTTGTGACACAGTTAGATGTTTTCTTCAATGTATGTCCTATCCACTTCCAGCGCTTCTTCCTGATTTCTTCCTCCACTGGAATCTGGTTTGTTCTCTCCCATAGTAGGTTGTTGATGATAGTGTCTGACCAACGGATCCGAAATATTTTCCATAGACAACTATACTATACTAATCCAATCATATTTGAATATACATACCGAGTATAAAAGTTCAAATTGAAAACTTTCATATCTGTCTGAAAAAGAAAAAACAAACACAATAAAATGACAAGGAAAATATTTTGAACGAATTTATTACTATTAACCAATAGAAATCGAGTAAACAAATTATTATTAACCAATAGAAATCGAGTAAACAAATTATTATTAGCCAATCAAAAGTCAATCATGATCATAATAATCAATAAAGGTCAAATACCAAATGGATAATGGTCATTCATTCAATTGAAATGGTACGTATCTCTTCCTGTTGTTGTTGTTGCCTTTTCATACGATTCTACTCAATCAGTAATATTACTGAACTAATCTTTCTTATTTAATGTCTTAATGGATGTATTCCGTTTATATTCCCAGTTTACTTCATAATTGAATGGTTTCTTATATATAAAAAAAATGATGTCTGAATTTTAGCTATGCAAAATTAATCCGGTATTACGTTCATTGGTACGATTATCAGGGAATGTAAGTTTATTCATTTATGTCATTTTTTATTCATTAATCTAATTATTAATTTGGAATAGAATAATGAACTGATACTTCAGTTGAATTCATCTCTATGAAATTTACCTTTTTTTTACAAAATATTACTGGTAACATAGATTTCAATGTAATTTTCAGTGAATACGTAAATGTTAATACAAAGGAGCACCGAATACATTTACTCTACACAAGTCAGTTGATACTGGTCGGGGTGTCTAGATTGAAGCAGGTGATTTTCTTAGGGGGGACGGGGCACACGGAGTCTTTGACCCAAAGGTCTAATCCACAAGGAAGTGGAGCAGCATTAAGAGAAGCAGTCACATAGTGGACGATGAGCAATAATTGGTTCATACGTCATTTGTTTCATCAGGATCCTGGAGCCCATGTGCATTATTGGTTTGGAATGAGAGTTTCCCAACTCCTGTAGGTGGATCCCCCATATCCACCAACCCGGTTAAAACTCCGGATATTCGCATTTCGTGAACACCACCCGTGGCCCGAGAAGGCAGTGAGTAGGACTTCCCGTTTAGTGGTTGTATGTACGTGGCTATGTGAGAGTATTTCGAAAGGGGGAGCTGATTTTCCCCACCCTCAGCCATACCAGGGCATTTGGGAGCTATTTCTTGCCGTAAATGTTTGTGAAATTACTAACTCAACGAACAATCGAATAGCGTTATTTAACTACTGATAGCTCATCCACTTCATTCATAACTAGGCACCCATTGACCTCTCAGATACTATTGCAAATAATATAAGAATGTCTCCACTGTGGTTTCTTTTCCGTCTGGTGGGTCTTGTAAAGCTTAAAACTGGTTGATAAGAGTTACCGTGAAGTTAATGAGCTTGTTAGCATCTCAAAGAGTGGTTATATTAAACTTCTGTAGTGATGCTTGTCCTATTGTTCAGCACCACTAGGTGGTGGTTTGAAGCTATATTAGCTCCGCTCTTCTTTACATTTCCAATGAGCCTTCTAAATTTTATATTGGTGCCAATGTGATTGATTTTGATCTCCGTAGCCAGATTCAGTGAAACCTGTGTGGCGTTATACATGCGTCTGTGAGGGAAAATGTTGTCACCTATAACCATATTGTTGAAAGCACATAGATATTCAGGTCTCTCGTCCATGCTTTCATACTCGGTGTTGACCATTCCCATTTTGGCATTCAGGTCCCCTATCAAAATGGTCAGGTCATTTCCTGGACAGTTCTCTTCAACGGATTACAACCTATCATAAACCTGATTTTTATCATCGCTTCTAATATTGGCGGAAATATAATACAGGATAGATTTTGCTGTGACGTCTCCCTTCTCTTTCCTGAAGAATATTTCGATGGTTCTGAAGCCATAGAGTCCCCATAACACAAGTGCTTCTCCAGACAACACTAATGCAACTCTTTGTGTAAAGACATTTTTTCTTCACGACTGGAATTCAGTAACGGTTCATCTATAGTTTTTCCTTTTCGTGCAGGTTATGTTCAATGAGTAACAGTTATTCCAAGATTGACTGAGTTGTAACTTTTGCACTTAATATGAGTGATCTACTCTGTCTCCCACATTGTTTAGATATTCTACGTATCGATATTAATTAGTTTTCAGAAGGGGCATTGAACTTGTGACTTCCGAAGAATCTTTTCTTTCACAATGAGGCGTCATACCTCTTCTATATGAAAACCATTCGATTGCCAGGGCAGAATTTAAGTTATGTTTGCGAGCTAGTGCTGTTTTTGTTAGTAAATCCGCTACCAGCTCATCCGCTTTACCCGGGTTCTTAGGCCACTATTCACCCTAGAGAGGCTTCAGACAGAGCTACAATTATATTAGTCATGAAATTTATAATAGTTAGAATCATTTCATTAACTTTTCAACTTATCTTGTCAATCACCCACCGACATCGTCTTTTTGTAATTACTGTCGAATTATCAATTATTTACAAAATCCTCCACCTGAGCTACAAATCTTCTACACCATCACAAGTAATTTAGTTTATATATTATTTGCTGTTAAAACTTTTTTGTTCTGGACAGTCGTTAGAGAATTACATAATTACGGACGAAACGGTCGTCCAGTGCTTCCAGGTTTTCCATGGTGGTCTAGCTTCAATTGACTCATGATTTCAACTACTGAAATTAGTACAATCTCCACAAATCCCTTCCTGAAAAAAATATCTTTAAAATATTCCACTACTTATAAGTAGGTAAAATCACTTATCAAAATATAGGGCACATCTAACTTCCCATGAGTTTAAAACACATCCCAATACTTGCCTATAACGAGGATCAAAATAATATTTGTATTTCTCATTACCATATGTTTCATCTGCTCTAAGAGTTCACAATAACCTCTACTTGACAACATTACCTCTTCAAATTTTAACTGATTTAAACTTAATAACAGGTGATCACAATCATTATTCACGAACTAACTCCGCCTGGAGTCCTCCCGGGGGCTACTACTGGGCCCAAACCCGGATCAAGGAGGAGGGTTGGGCATGGGGTTAGCAAACCCCATCCCGTAGAAAACTAACTCGCCAAAAAACGCTAATCAGAAAAAATTATTCGAACACATTGAGGAAAGCACCCAACTGCATCACAAGACAAGCCGTCATAAGGATTCCTCAAGGCCAAAAGAGAAGAGGAAGACCAAAGAAAACATTACATCGGGAAATGGAATTAGACATGAGTAAAATGAACAAGAATTGGATGGAACTGGAAAAGAAGGCCCAGGACAGAGTGGGTTGGAGAATACTGGTCGGTGGCCTATACTCAATTAGGAGTAACAGGCGTAAGTAAGTAAGTAATTCTATTCACGAATTACAATACAGTTTCGAAGATCCTCTGATAATAGTATAAGATTATTACTAAATATGTTTCTTACTTTCCAACTACTCTCTTTCAACCCTTGTTATTTATTGACCGCATTAGTGAGTAATCAACTGTTCGAGTTATTTTCAGTCATTTTATGTCCTATACGCTGTTAAGTGTGATATTCCCTTGTTGAAACGATTCCCTCATCTCATATGTTTTGAGCTGGTTTTTTGATACCTTAATTATTTTCTTCTGACTGTATTCATAATTTGACCTATTTGACTGTTTGTTCTTCTTTTTATATGATACATTATTAAACGAACTTTATTTTCAACAGTTTCATTATGAAAGCTACGCCTACTTATGATCACCGAATTTTTGGTTTCTCACTTCATTAAGTACCCACCGCTTAGTGCTAATTCATTGAAAGAAGGGTAAAAATGAACTGGTCGTCTTCTTATCATTGTGATCAAAAGAGACTGGAAAGATATACATTAAGGCCTTAATTTATCTCCCCAATATAGCAAATTCGATCACAGGTTTCCAAGCTGGATTTACTTTACTTGTCAGGTTAAGACGTTTTTTCACCAAAGAACGATATAACTGGTGTAGTGAACAAGAACACAAATGGGAGCAATCAAATGTATTTGAACGGAACCTTGCAGAACATCTTACTAAAATCTGAGAACCATACAGTAAATAACAATCCATCGTCTCACATGTCATTTTTTTGCATTTTCATACCGATTGCCTTCCGTTCCCGTTTTTTTGCTTCTCTATCTTCTGCTGAAATACATTCTATGCCTGACTACCATTATATATTACTTATGTGGGTATAAGTAGCTCACACCACACTGGTGATATAATATCAAGTGAATAAGTAGAAAGATTCAGTAGGAAACATTTCTCGATATTCAATTATTTCCGAATCATAAATAAACATACAAATGGACAAAGAGTGTGACACGGCTAGATATAAACAAATAACACTGGATAAAGTACGAACACTATATACTCTGTTGACAGTGAGCGATCAATAACATAACACTAAGACATATAACTATTAATTGTTGTTTTGCGTTATGTAGTGTAATGTACACTTCCAATTTCGTATCTGTCTGTTCATCCCCCAAATGCCCTGGTATGGCCGAGAGTGGCCACATGCATACAACTACTGATAGAGGAGTCCTACTCACTGCCTTCTCGTGGGGAGGGTATTGTTTACGAAACTGAAAGGACGAAAAGCAAATATCCAGGGCTTTAACCGGTTCGGTGGACACGGAGAGTCCACCGAGGGGGGTTAGCTGGAAAACCCTGATTCGAAACCAATGATGAACATGGGCTCCAGTATCCTGAAGGGACAAATTGCGTATGAAGCTATTGTTGGTCACCGGCTACCATGTGACTGCATCTCCTTACGTTGCTCCATTACCTTGTGGATTAGACCTTTAGGTCAAGAACTCCGGGTGTGGCTATCTAAGAAAACCATCTGCCTCGGTTTGGGCACCCGGACATTATCCCAGTCCTCACACAAATTGAGTGATTTATGTGGCACATACATTCGTGATTAATTTAGCTCTTCTCCTAACAAAGACAGAATCAAAACCATTGACATTAATCTCACACTAGTGGGACTTATTGAGTCAAATTAAGAAATTATCTCTTGACTTTTAAAATCTGAATTTATGCTTTTTTATTGGTTAGAATAGACAGATGGAACACTAGTAGTTTAGTTTATGGATTGACCTTAGTTAGAAATCTATTAGAAAGCATAGAGCACCGAACAGATATTTCTTCCTAATGCTGGACTCTTCAGCAATGAATACTTAATCTTTCTCAGAGGACTGAACTTAAAGTCATTAGATAACACAGTCTATATTCAATAGTTTAGATTTCAAATTTAAATCAATTAACGATGTTTTACAATCATTTTTCAATTAATATCTAAGATCAGTTCATGATGTCAACTATGAAAAGTTCACCAATCTCTGTAAACATTTTGTGATAAGAAATCTAATAGTTTATGTTTGAATTAAGCTCACTAAACTATTTAGAATTCTAAATTAATCACATGCCAATTGGCTACTTATTGCTTTCGAAGTGAATTCAAGCATATGCAAAGGATATTAGTCAATAGTAACTACGATTACATTTCGACAAGACAAATAATGACTGGTAACTATTGTCTAGTGAATAATCACTCATTTTAATTTCCCTTTATTTATTTATTAGAATTCTTGGAAAATTACCAAATTAAATCATGTTGCAATTGCTGTGCCAGATCTAGAAAAAGCTGCTTCATTTTATCGTGATATTTTATGCGTTGAAGTTAGCGAACCAAAAGTAAACTATCATTCTTTATATTCACTTGATGTTGTTGTTTCACTTGTATCTTCCTATTGTTATTTAAGACTTCAATTGATCAGTCTCTAATTGGTATATATGCATACTGTGCATATTGCCTTAATTCACAAACATTCTAAGCAAAAATAGATCATGATTAGTAGTGGAATCCAGTTTGACATACGTTTCGTCCTATTCGAGACTCATCAGCTGAATGTACCTACATCTCAAAGTTGATGTTCACTCTGGGACTTGAACCCAGTATCGTTCTTTATATTTTATAGGATTCATAATTTCAATCCCGAACTGATCTTAGCTAGATCATCAATATAGCCTAGGAAATCCAATACTTTTTGACTATTAATGATAATCTAATTAAGATGATTTCTAGATTGAAACGAAAGCAATTCAACTGCCTTTACAAATCCTTCTATATTGATTATATCTTCTTATTTATTTTTAATTTATAGCCCATTAAAGAACATGGTGTTACCACAGTGTTTGTACGACTAGATAATGTTAATATTGAAGTAAATTCTTTTATTTATACATAATATAAATTGATTAGTTGATTCAACCTCTTGGTGATAATAGTCCTATTAGTAAATTTATAGAAAGTAATAAAAATGGTGGATTACATCATCTTTGTGTTGAAGTAAGTATCTACATTTTATTGAACTCTAGTTTTTATTCACTATATAAATCTTCATCTTATTCAAAGTTATACCATTCGTACGTTTGAACTAATCTGACTATATTTATTGTTAAACAATAGAATAAGTTAGTTAAGATAGAGACCTTGAATAACATGGATCAAAATCATTTGCAATGGAGCAGATGCATCCAATCTTTGTGTTCTCCCAAATTCTAATCTTCTGAATTCTTCATGTTCCTTTTTTCTTCACTGGATTATACTCCTTGAATAACATCTTCAAACCCTAATCTTTCCGATTACTGCTTATAGTCTTACTACCTATAGCACTACTGGATTTGAATCAACAACTGCATCTCTATGCTAATTTGGTATGGTAACTTGAACTGATGTACATACGTAAGAGGTTCTACGTTTTTACTCACTGACTGACTGGAGTTAAGTAAAAAAAACGATAACACCATAGAAATCTGACAGTAAATTTAATCTTAAACTAAAAATAGAAGTAAGTTTTTCAGTAAAGTTGAATTGGAAATCAACAGGGGAATCTAGCTAGTACGGTTTGTTCTGTCTACGACTCATTACTTAGGTGTGTCGGTGGGAATATAATTTATGCACGACCTTTGAGCGACGCCAGATTGACCTTGAGAGCGTCCACCTGATAACTAGGACCACATTTGGATTATAAATTAGTGTGAGGAATTCTAATTATGATTTACAGATGATGGTTAATGTTTGTAATTAGATTTAGGGTTTTCATCATGAACTGATATCAGCTATAATATCAAAATTCTATTAAACCAAATAGTTGAGTAAATTTCGCACCAAAATCCGATACCTGTTATCTTATACATGATTGGTTCGTCCATAAATTATAGTCTCGCCGATGTGTCTACATCCCAGTATTAATGTGAACATCAATAATGGTACTCAACAACTTTTGGTTTAAGTGCATAAAGCTTCATCTATTGAATTATTAAGTCTAGATAGATGCTAAGCTATCCAACACGTATGAATTGTATTCATAAGGGTTTGTGAATAAATGAAGATTTCGAGGCAATGAGAATAGGATAATCAAATACTAAAGGAGAACATTCAACTAAATTCCTGAGCTCGAACCACGAAAATGTGCAAACCAACAAAACGAAACAGGAAACATTACTATTTAATAAAAAAGAAAATTAAAATAATTCAGTATTAGTATGTTAAACATATAGGGGAGAGAAAAAAAGGCATAATGCTGCTGTCAACTTTGAGCCATCTCATCACATATTTTCACAGTCATACATTACAATCAGCAAGTTTTCTTGATAAATATCGTCAACTGAGACACTATCTTGGTTGTATCTTTTTTTCCTAACCTATCTTGATGGTGTTTTGTTCTCTGAGCTGGATGGTTTGGTTGTAGAGCTTTCATCGTTCTTCTGAACGACATCATCAGCACAAACTTCAAAATCATCCATCTGAGCTACAAATCTTCTCCACCATTTCCTAACTTATTCCAGCTATTGAATAAACTGTTTACCGTGTACAATGGTTCATGTACGGTGGTACTATACTTAACAGCTCTGATTGACATATAAAATAAAAGTTCTCATACGAGATTATTAGATTCATGCTGAATATATGAAATCGAATTACTTAGTTCACAATGTTAGTTCTGTATCGTTTATTCCTAGTTTGATAATAAACTAGTTGACACTTTTATCTATAATTCTATATGATTCACTCTATACCATTGTTCAATACATGGTGGAGTCGTGAATGCCTACCGTTTTACTGAGTTACTCAGCAGAAAACATAGTACTTCCTGATCTTCTTCTATCATCATCTAACTGAAGTTATTCCACAGTGTGAAGTATAATTGAATATTGACATTTTAAAAACTGTAGACAGATTTTAAACTACAGCTACTTAGTTAAAGTAATGAGTTTTGTTTTCATTTAAACACTGACATCGGTTACATTTAGTAATGAATATATATAACTAATTTTGTTATGGCAACATCAATGAGGAATAAATTCACTGAAGTGACAGGGGTATTCAAATGAATGTATTTTTACAATGAAATTTGTTAAAAAATACACAATATACTAGAGGGATATAGTAACAAAAAAAAGTACACAAATAATAAGATTCTTCCCAATTGAATTCACTTTATAATATAACCTACTATAATTTGGTTTGTTTTATTGTGAACTACAATTTTAGGTTGACAATATATATAATTGTTTGAAGCATTTAAATGATAAAAATATTCGAACATTAAGTGCTGAACCAAAAATTGGAGCATCAGGTTCACCTGTCCTATTTCTACATCCTAAAGATACATGTAGTGTATTGCATGAATTGGAACATGTTCCAGAAAACTATGATTCTCATTAATATACATTAGTGTGTGTGTGTGTGTTGTAATTATGATTATTATTATTATTATTATTATTATTATTATTATTATTATTATTATTATTATTATTATTATTATTATTATTATTATTATTATACAAGATAATATGTTGAATTAACGAACTAATTTTAAAAGTTGAAGTAATAGCTTATTTGACTGTGTTTATTCACTTACTAACATAAGTTATACTGCTGAGATAATTTGTGATTTTGATGATGATTTCAATCTTTCTCGGGTTTTGAACAGCCTACGAAGTATGACGGAAGCCAACAGATTGGATGCAATTAGAAGTAGACTTATTCCCCGATAGTTGTTACAGAAACGATGTGAACCCTTTTTAAAGATAGGAACAACTATCGACTCATTCCATGATGTTGAAACAGTCTCTAGCTTCAGAACATCTGTATACAGCGTTGTCAGTTTCTCAACCAGAAGGTCACCACTATCTTTAAAAGGAGCCGGAGGTAATTCATCTGGGCCAGGTGATTTGTAGCGTTTCAAGAGTTGGAGTTCCTTGCGGACTTCCCCCTCGTTTGGTGGATCAGTCGTCACCGGCCAAGGAGGGCAGGACAGTCTGACCGATGTTGCCGGAGAAGCAGACCAGTTGAACTGCCCTTCGAAAAATTCTGCCCATCGTCCAAGACGTCGATGGATGTTGGTGATTGGCATCCCATCATCCTCGCAGATTGTTTCACTCACACCAGACTTCTTGCTGCCAGTGGCTCGGATGAGCTGGAAGAGCTTCCGGTAGTTACCAGATGCAGCTGCTGCTTCTAGCTCATTAGCACGCTCCGACCACCAGGCTTCTCGGTCCTTACGCAAGCTTTGCCCAATTTCCTTACGTAACATCCCTCGTTTATGGTCAAACTCACGGTCACCCGGAGTAGACCGACGGGCTTCAATAAGTTGTAAGGAACCTGCAGAAACCCAGTGCTTAAAAGCGGGACGTTTCGCAAACCCACAACTGACTGTTCCCGCCATTTTCATGGCGTCATGCAATTGCAACTAATGCTCATCTATACTTTTCGGTGGAGTGGTAGCTAGCCTAGAGGCTAGCTCGGTTCGATAATTATTTGCAACATAAGTTGCAACCAGCTTGCTAATATCAATCCTTTGATGGAGGTCACTTCGTTGTCCACTGAAAAGTAAGGCAAGATTGGCACAGACCAAGGCATGCTCAGAGTCCAGATAGGTACTCGAAAAGGAGCGGCAGTCTTTTACACAACCACGCCAGCGGAAGCTGATCGCGATGTGATCAATCTGAGTCCAGGCTTGGGATGCAGAGGGAGGACGCCAGGTGGCACATCGGCGATGACTGTGCCGAAAGTTAGTGCTAGCCAGAAACAGGTTGTGGTCTGTGCAAAGTTGCAGTAGACGGTCCCCGTTATCTGACCTGCGACCAACGAGTCCCCATCGGCCACCTAAACGACTCTCTTCTGTGCCTAGACGCCTAAATTGAGCATTCAAGTCTCCGGCTAGTACTACAATATCTGTCGAACGCACTTTCTGGTGAAGAACATATAACTGGTGGTAGGATTCATCCTTGTTTGCATTTCGGGCCGCAATCTGTCAAGGCATAGGCAGAGATGACGAAAAGACATCGTTTCTCACGCCGATTTCTTCTCACTTTGATGGAACTCTCTAATCTAACAGCACATAACCGACTGTTAATGGGGATCCAATCAATTCGTGATGCCTCAGCTCTAGCGCTTAGTGCGATACCAACACTGGCAAGGCCAGACGGAAATGCCTCAGGGTCCACGGATAAACGCACGTTAAACGAGACTTATGAAGCGACGGATGGAGAGCGAATTTGTAATACTTCTTCAAAGTCTTGTATACGGGTCTCGGATAGATAACAGACGTCGATATTAGGACTTTCTAAAGACATAGCCAGCCCTATCGGTTGTCCGATATGCATTAATGTGCGAACGTTGAAGGCAGCCAGTTTTAATGGTGCACGTGGTTTCAAAAAGACTGTTTCAGTATTCGTACTTGGTGGTAACATTCAATTTTCGACCAGTTAGGGACTCAAGATCGTTTAGATAGAACAGAATTTCCACCGTAAGCTGGGATACGCAAAGTGAGAATCGAAGAGAGTAGACAAGTAACGCCGTACAAAAAAATGAAAGGAAATGTTATCGAATGGGTATGGGTTGCTTGAATTGTAATAGGAGTGAGAGCAATATATCTAATAATCATTGTCGTTTGATTTTAATTTTGTGAGGGCTATGATACTGCCCGGGTGCCCAAACCGAAGCAGGTGGTTTTCTTAGGGGGCCACACCCCGAACCTCTTACTTAAAGGTCCAATCCACAAGGCAGTGGAGCAGCGTCAGGAGATGCAGTCCCATGGTAGCTGGTGACCAACAATTGGTTCATACGTCATTTGTTTCTTTAGGATCCTGGAGCCTATGTGCATCATTGGTTTGGAATCAGGGTTTCCCAACTCCCCTGAGTGAACTCACCGGCCTGGCTTAAGCTCCGGACATTCGCTTTTCGTCCTTTCAATTTCGTAAACAACACACGTGGCCCGAGAAGACAGTGAGCAGGACTTCCCTATCGGTGGCTGTGCGAGAGCATTTCGAGAGGGAGGGTGGGCCCTCCCCACTCTCGACCGTACCAGGGCTTTTGGAGGAAAAGCGTGGCAACTGGTTGTTGCAATGTAGAAGTGCCGGGCTACATACTATTTATATCTGTGAGTATAAGTAGCATACAATACAATATTATTATGAAAAAAGCTTCCATAAATAGTAAATCAATGAAGTTTAATTCGAAATAACAAGAGGAAACATCATATTTAACATGGCTGATTAGTAGATTCAATAATATTTACATGTCGAAGATGAATCCATTAAAAAGGAGATTATGAAGTTAAAAATGGTAATATAGAGACCTTGAAAAAAATTGTTAATCAACGAATGATAATCGAAGCACGTAACTGACATAAAATTAAAAATCAGACCAAAAGCAGTATTTGGAGGACGGAAATGTTCACAAGTGAGATCACTAAACGTTAAATAGATAGTGGACACAATTTGAATGACAAGAATAGAACATCACACTTAGTTCGCTTTGAAGAGGCCACTGCCACCAAGCGCTTTTATCCTGAAATTTGTTACATAAGGAAAGTGTGGTAAGCCTCTAGATGGCATGGTAAGAGAGACATTTTATTTTAACGCGTTCACTGCATTATCTGTTCATTGTATTTTATGATTTGAAATAAGAAGAATTTCACTGATTTCCACTTACGACATTAGGCTTAATTTTATGTCAACTATATGCCTCGATCAACAAGCTGGATTCCAATAGCTTTCATCTAAAACCTGATTTTTTCACTCAAGCTCGTCTATAATCTACCCCTAATCAAGTTTAGATTTCCACTAGTAGTTCACAGACATGAATTTTACTTCACCTGTTTTAGATTGAACAACCTAGTAGTAGTACCAATAGTTATCACATGAAAACTGTCTCAAAGTCGATTTCATAAAATTATACGTGGTATCCATGTTTTTCACGTTTATCTTTCGAAGCAGATATATAGTACTTCAAAATCGGAATTGAAGTAGTATAGTGTTACACCTCAACAAGATACCAAAGGAAGGAGATCTCAGTAACTGTGACAACCACAGAGGCATAACACTAACATCGGTACCAGGAACATTTTTCGACAATGTTGCTGAACCGAACGAAGGATTCAGTAGATGCTCAACTTCGAAATCAACAAACTGGATTCTAGAAGAATTGGTTGCACATAGACCGAATCGTGACACTACAGATTATTGTTGAACAATCACTTAAATAGAATTCGCCACCACGCAACAACTTCCTTGACTATGAGGAAGCGTTTGACAACGTGGATAAGAGAACCTTACGGAACCTTCTTCGACATTATAGTGTACCCGAGAAGGAACGTCAACATCATCCGGATTTCATACGAAGGACTACACTGCAAAGTCATGTATAGAAGACAGCTGACAGACTCATTCCAAGTGAGGACCGGGGTCAAACAAAACTGCTTACTCTCCTCCTTTCTAGTTCTTATGGCGGTCGGCTGAATTATGGAGTCCTCCACATCTCAGCTGAAGCATGGGATGCAATGGATAGCTTGCATGAAACTAGACGATTTGGACCTCGCAACCAATCCAGTTGATCTATGCTATACACACCAACAAATGAAGGTGAAAACAACCAGTACAGCAGAAGCCTCTCTGCAGCAATAGGCCTTAACATTTTAAAGTGAAGAAAGAAAGTCACAAAATACGACAGGTAGCACCAACTTAATCACACTCAGTGAAGAAGCTCTGGAAGAGGTGGAAAGTTCCATGTGACTGGACTGCTTCATTGATAAACACGGAGGATCTGATACAGATATAAAGGCAAGGACTTACAAGGTAAGGGCAGCATTCTTATATTTGAACAACATATGGAACTCAAAACAACTGTCAACCAATACCAAAATCAGAATCTTCAATACCAACGTCAAGACAACTCGAGTGTACGGAGCTGAAACGTGGAGAACTACCACAACCATCATCGAAAAGGTACAAGTATTTATGAACAGTTGTCTACTCAATATTGTTGGCCAGATATTCTCAGCAACAGCCTACGGTTAGAGAGAACAAACCAACTCCCATCTGAAGAGGAAATTAAGAGACGTTGGAAGTGAATAGGACATACATCCTGGGAATCATCAGACTGCATCACGAGGTAAATCCTGACTTGGAATCTTGAAAGAAAGATGAAAAGTGGAAAACTAAGGAACATATTGTGTCAGGAATTGTAAACAAACTTGTAAAGGATTGCTCAGGATGAAGAATGCTGGTGGGCGGTCTATGCTTTACCACGATGGGTAACAGGCATAAATAAGTAAGTAATTACGTGCCTCGATTATCATTCATTGGTTAACAATTTTGTTTTATTCAATATATCTTAAATACTTCCGTTTTCAATTCTATAATGATGATTATTCAGTGTAA